TGCCTGCTGACCAAAGTCAAAAGAGCTCGCACACAAGTCTTTCTAATATTCTAGCACACTGAAAAAAAAATTATACTTTGGATCAACTTAACAAAAAATACTCTAATTTGTTACAGCCAAATGTATTATTTTTCTTAAATTGCGGCATTAACTGGAGCTAAATCATATTTATTTATTTCTGGGAAGGCAAAGCTGGATTTTCAGCTGTAATTATTCCAGTCTTCAGTGTCACATGATCCTTCAGAAATCATTCTAATACTAAATTGGTGCTCAAGAAGTATTATTATCAATGTTGAAAACAGTTGTGCTGCTTAATCCTTTTGTGGTAATCCTGATTTTTGATGAATAGAAAGTTCAGTGAATAGAAAGTGAAAATTTGTATTGTCACTTTTGATCAATTTCTTGCTGAATAAAAAGGAATTGATTACATTGGTTTTAAACTGTATTCTACCTAGTTCAGATAATACTATTACCATGGGACCTTGTCAAAAACAAAACTTGCCCTTACAAAAAAGTAGCATGGTAGCCTATTGAAATTCCTGTATACATTTATATACACATACATATCGTCGCCGAGCTGTTTTCATTCCGCACTGGCATGCGAAAACAGACCAAAACTTGAATATCACACAATATCAAATAGACCGTATTTTCAGCGATGGCTAAAACAGACGCCTCGTAATACGCAATTCTCTGATCAACCCGTCACCACATGAACAAGTTAATAAAGGTGCGCGTGAAAAAGCCATGATTCCACTACAGCGCGCACATGCCTGGAGTGGGTCCGCTGAGCCGTTGTCGTGGAAACGGAGTGACATATTCGCGTAGGCGCCGATGCCTATTGCTCTGCGGACACGTTAGACTACCCCAACTAACCTATACACAACAACTCGTGTAATAACGTACGCGTAAAACTTCATTTCATTCGTAAATAGCAGGAGTTTATTAGGCCTAAAAGCACATTTCCCCCCCCCAAGACCAAGCCATTTGACGGTCTCTCCAGTCGGCTCGTCTGTCAGCGCAGGCACTCGAGCAGATCAGCTCAGCACTGATAAATCTCTATGAAGCGGACGCTGTATCTTCACCGATATGCATCTAATTGCGTTATGTGGTCAATTTATACAATCTAGTGTAAGGCGATAGCGCTGTCTCTCTTTTTTTCCTCTTCGGGTACAGAAAGTCAGCTAAGGTGAGTCAGCAGCCGAGTGACCATCTTCATCCAAAGAAAACCCTTTAGATGTGCTATCTTGCCAACTTATTGCTTATTTACCGTGACCCCCACCCTTTACGCACAATGTCTGTTGCATGCCATGCTATGGTCTTGTTTGATGCCAAGAGCTCATACGCACGAATGATCGTAGCGAACTCCACAGATGCTCATAACGGAAACGGGCATGTCATGGAATAGCAGGGCACTAAACTTATTTCGGCCCTCGACGAATTGAGGAATCTACCCACATACTCGCAAACACACACGCGCGGGCGCGCGCATGCTGTTTTTCACGCATCCGTGATGCTGGAGCAGGTCTCCCGGTCCATTTCTCCGCTAAAACGCTCCACTTACATATCCGTGATGTTTTCCATGTCAGACTCCGGCACCAAGACAGGGAAATCCTCGATCCCTGGTTCTTGATCGATACACGAGATCCTCGAGGCATTGCAAAAGCACGACCCAGGACAAGCCGAGCTGAGCCTCAGCAGCCCGAATAGAAGCCCACACAGCCCCAATCGAGCCATTCCACGAACCCCTGCGGTCATGGCAGGTCTAGCGCGGCGCGTTCAGCGTTGTGAAATGTCTTGTAGTATTTTCAGCAATTCCGAGATGAGACGCCGCTGCTGTGGGATGCGCAAAGACGTTGTGCGCGACGCGAGACTGTCATGGAGTGGCCTTATCTGGTCTCCGTAGAAAGGTGATAACGCAGCGGGGAGATGTTGGCGTGCCAGTATGTTGCGCTATCCGGGCTTCGCTTCTTCCAGACGCGGTGGAGAAACGCGTGGCCGCGGGCTGCGTGTGTCTACGGGCTGCGGCGGTGACGCTGACGCCTCACATCCAGCGCTGGGCAAGAAAACAAGCGAGACGGTGTGCGCGCGTGCGTCTGCGCGCGAGTGAAGAGGCAGCAGCGCGTACCTGCTGCAAGCGCCTATTGATTACCAGCGCATCTCCCTCAGACACCGCTGCTGTAATTACATGTGGAGGGGCACGCTAAAGACGCTCTCGGCGATGCCATATCGGCAATAATTGATCACCTGCGTTGTCAATGGGGCGATCTTTGGGAGATTTATGTTGACAGGGATGTCGAATCATTTGGGAAATGACTTGATCATTTTCAATTGTTTTTTTCATCTGTTTAACCATTCAGTCTGAGCTCGCTGTGTTGCTTTGCCATCGTGCTCTTTTCAACAATGCCACAACTTCATGAATAGCCATTACCGGAGTGTGACGTGCTGTTTGACGCACAAGATGGGCTGCATCTAGAAAAATAATTGCGAAACAAAAATGCCTGGATGTTTTTTTACTGGTGATGCCAGTCTCGCATTCCAATTGCCGTGTAGCCTATGTAAAAGGAGACGAAATGATATTAGTAATAGCCTAATCTATCACTTTAGCGTGTTTACTGAATTATCCGTCTGTTTGAAGGGGCGATGGATTCGGAAAATGCGCCTTCGAGTCTCACATTTGACAGCAATGCTTGCATTTCTACGTCCGTGAGAGAGAGAAGTTAGAGCCCAGCTGCGCTAGATTCCACGCGTTATAAAAACATGTGGATTTTGTTTTTAGCAAGAGTACACTGAAGGGCCTTGGTTCAGGAAATCACTACAGCGCAAGCCAAAAGATGAAGTGAAATGCGACGAACTGTTATATTTTTACCAGGAGGGGGCGACAAAGGCAACATGTTTTATCACGGTCAGCGGGAGCGGGATTGTCGTCTTACCCAAGAGAATATAATAGGCTATATTCCCATTAATAAACAAGCATTTTGATCTTAAAACAAGGAGAACTGTATTAGACAGGATTAGTCCGATCAGTTTGACTGGGGTTTGTATTTTTTTTAACAATACTCTGAACCAAACCAGTGCGATCTGAAAGACATGAGAGGCTGCACCATTATCGACTGTAAATATGTCACTACAAACGGTGATAAAACAAAGTCTCTTTTTATTTATGGTATATGAAGCCAAGCTGTTAAACGCAAGATAAGTCGAGCGCTTCTCAGTTGCTATGACGATAGCCTATAATATAAGCGAATGCTAAGGGGCGGGGCAACAATACTTAGCTGACAGCCCTCTTACCCAATTAGATTCTTAGGTTTTATATCGACAGTCATTTCAACCAATACAGCCGCTCGTTTGAATTCCGGTACAGCCAATCACGAAGCTAAAAATTGCACGTAAACCTACAATGAAATCAAGGTAGAAGAAGGCGCAGATATTTCGGGCGAATATTGGTGTGACGGAAGGGCTGCCTGCAGGTTTGTTCAATATTTTGAGTCGTATTCTACACAGGCACCTCCTTTTGGAACTGTACAGTTATTTCCGGGAGTAATAAATAACAGAAGCGTCGAACGTTAATTAGACTGTTAACTGTTATATGCGTCGGCGTGCTGTAAATTAGCCAGTTAGCTTGCTAAGGTAAGCAATTCTCAAAATGGAGTTTCCTGCTGATCATACGCAACAGTCATCAGATAATCATTTCCCTGTTATCTAACCAAAGCAGAATCTTGCACACCGACGCAAACTGTTATACTAATAAGTATACTAAATGGACTAACCAAACCCTGTGTTGTCATTTTGCTCGCAATAAGAGTGGATCTAGAAAGCAAGCCATTTTGTGCCCATACATCGCAGGTGCAGAAAGATTTCGTTTATATAATGTTTTTTGGACGGGTGTTCTTGTTATAGTACGCAATATTGTTATGTATTTCCTTCGTGAAGTTCAGTAAATGCAGCTGTGTTGTTAGTTAATGAAGGCTTGTACTGTTATGGCAACTGTAACTGTAAGGCTAGCAGGCTAAATGCTACTTGCGCACCATTTTGAAACACTGAGCATTAACACAGCCCTAAACTAAGTGCTTCTAATATATAACCAGTGTGAATATTTCGATATCGTTAGGTCTCATTTTATAATTAAAATACTGACAACTGTGTTTTTGCGGGTAAAATAAATGCACTTTGCATTTGAATGGTTTTGTAATTGTTGAAATATATTTATTTAGAATGTTTTTTATATATTTATATTGCGTTCTTTTATTGTACATCCTGTTTTTGTTCGTATTTTGAATATGAAGGCTTGTACTGTTATGGCAACTGTAACTGTAAGGCTAGCAGGCTAAATGCTACTTGCGCACCATTTTGAAACACTGAGCATTAACACAGCCCTAAACTAAGTGCTTCTAATATATAACCAGTGTGAATATTTCGATATCGTTAGGTCTCGTTTTATAATTAAAATACTGACAACTGTGTTTTTGCGGGTAAAATAAATGCACTTTGCATTTGAATGGTTTTGTAATTGTTGAAATATATTGATTTAGAATGTTTTTTATATATTTATATTGCGTTCTTTTATTGTACATCCTGTTTTTGTTCGTAATTTTTCCTTTCTCTTTGGAGTGTTACAAGCTCTTGGTGCGTAAAGAAGATCTGTAAAGTTACAAAGACTAAAGTCTAAATCCAAAGAGATATTCTTTATAAAAGTTAAGAGTTAACCACGCATACCTAAAATGGCGCATTCTAACACGCCCCCACATATCTACCTCACTATGTGGGAAGATTTGCATAACGCCGCCCAAATGTTCACGCAAAGAAAGAAGGCGTAACTTTTATTCTCGCTGTAGTATTGTTGCCGCTGCCGCCATGCCGTGGAGACACTGTGTGTTTCGTTGTGAAAGCGAAACTACTTTGTTTGGTCTTCCAAAAGAGGACGATATCCGCTTCGTCTGCCTAGAGCTGGTCGCTTAGGGAATAGATCAACTTAGTGGACCGTGGACGAAGCCCGGGGTCGTCACGTGGTTGCCGCTCCTTCGTTGAATCCGCCGGGTGCGCCGTTCTCGACCCCGCCGCCTCATTCTAGCCCGGCCTCAGCTCACGCTAGTTACGCAACACGTAAAAAGACAGTATAAGTCATTATAAGCAGTAATTATGTCCCCACTGGATGCAACAAATGCCTCGTTTGTAATGGGTTTTAATGTTATTGTCTCGTCGTTCCGGCTGGGACACGGCATCAACAGTATAATGAGGGGCGTAACATTTCAGTCACACGCTTGAGGTATTCAGCCAATCACAACACACTGGATAGCTGGCCAATCAGAGCACACCTCGCTTTTTCAGAGGATGAGCTTTGTAAAAATCAACGCGTTTCAAAAAGGCGGGGCATAGAGGAGAAACAATAATGTACAGTATGTGGAAAATAATGTTTTTTAAACTTTAAACCACATAAACGCATTTCATTACACCGAATACACAAAATAATGTTCTTTTTAGCAACATCATATGACCCCTTTAAAGTAATCGCACGCTTAACTTATCAAACAAGAAATATCATCATCGTAAATTAGTATAGTACGGAAATACCGTAGTGCATGAAAATGGTCATATTTAGTATCATAGTATTGTCCTCTAATAATATCACTGTAACATGGTACAGACACAGACTTGTTTGACTCTTTAATATAACGTTTCAGAGTGAACAAGAGAGGATGAAATCTGATAAAAATGTAGGATGGAACCTGATTTTATTCATCTGGAAATGATTGGATTGTGAAAAGTTGTCACTGTATCATTGGTTTTCAGCTGGAGGGTTGCTGGTCTGTTCTGGTAAATAATGATGCCATAAACAAATTATAGATTGATCTAATCATGTGTAGTTTGGTTGGAGGAATAAATAGATTTACCGTCTTACAGTAGATAAGGAAACACTTCCTTTATTTTGTGGTGTCATGATGTCAAAGGCCATTGGTCCAATCAAACTCTCCAGTATACTAGCACATTCATCTCACTTGGTAATATGGCTAATAATAATATAACATTTGCCATGGTCTCTTTTCTGCATCTACATGATGTTAATAATTTTGCTTATTGTTGTAGGTCTTCGTAAATGCAATATGTGTCAGTCCTTGATTTTAAGGATTTGTGTTTACGTTTTGTACAATTCTTATACGGTGTTGGGCTCCGCTCATGAACGCTACTTTATCAGATAAAAATGCCATCTAAACTATTCTGAAGACAGTCGGTTCCCTTCAGAGATACATTCATATAAAACACCCACGACGCTTTTTGATTTTGAAACGTGCAGTGCTCATGTTTATTCAACGAAGTCAAACGCCACAAATAAATCAATGTATGGGAAACACTGGTAATGTATATCGGAAATGTGTTTAAAAATCATATCACCGTTATGGAAAAAAATTATATCGTGATACATATTGATATTGAATTATTGTCCAGCCCTAGTGTTGGGTCACCACCTGAATTCAAACCAATTGAGAATCACTGTGACAGGTGTTTGGAAGTGTTGAGAAATGAGGCCTTGTTTACATCTGCCAAAAATCGATTCTGATATAGAACAAGCTATTACATTTTGATGAACATTTATAAAATGATTTCTTTGGAATAACAAACTTTCTACGTTAAGACCAGGAAAGTGTATTCATTAAGTATAATTTTGATTTCATGTTGACATTAAAAAGGGTGTAGTTTCTGCATTGTTTTAACACTTAAAATGATATGTCTCTTAGAGTTACCCGTCGAGGACAGCCTATTCCAGTTTCACCGCTGGCTGAAGACAATGGAGACAGAAATTGAGCAGCAGGAAGAAGAGACCACTTTCAGTAACACTGACGCTAACGGTAACCAATAGAGTTCAACTGTGTCTGTCCACTTTTTCTGTAACCTTGGTTTTGAAAGTAGTTCACATAAATTTTTTACTAGGGATGTAACGATTAACCGCGAGCCGGTTGAAAATCGATTCAAATATGTGACGATTCAAATCGGTTGAGATGCTAAACAAATCTCGATTCATTTAGGTGTAGGAGTTTATATGAATGCATGTCTGAGGGGAACTTACTGTCTTTAGAAAAGTTTAGATGGTTTTTCTTTTCATCTTGCCTCTGTATAATGCATATTAAAGTTTATA